ACATAGATGTTAGAAGCTGCAGAGGAAGTAATCACCATCGGTATGGGAAGTGAGGGTCTGCACAAGAATTTCAACTGTCTAGACAGCAAGAAAAAATAATAATTGAAAAAAAAAAAAGAGAGAGAGAGAGAGAGAGAGAGAGAGAGAAAGCAGACTTGACCTGGAATTCATGGAGGAAACAACAGTAAAGTCTAGGACACAAATTCTCTTTCACACAATAGATAAAAACCACCGACAACTTGCAGGTTAGAAGCTTGGCTGAAAGAAAAAAATATATAGTGATGGTGTCTGTAACAGGAGACCAATCAGACAATATGTGCTTTGTGGACTTCTAAGAGTCAGAATAAGCCAACAGAGAAACAGATCTGATCCCAGTCAACTGTGTAAAAAATTACAGTATAAATTAAAAAGTGAAGCACCTCAAAAATGAAAAAAAAAAAACCTTAGAAAGCCAAAAGCCCCAAAAGACACTGCCAGCTCTGCAGAGCTCCAGAAAGACTGTGAGAAAGAAACAGGACCCGCTCAAGAAGCTACTGAAAGATTGTATGTGACAGGAAGGAGGAAAAGCAAGAAAGGCAGGCCAAGGAAGGCTCAGGAAAGTCTTCGCTGACAGTACCACAATCTATTGTTCAAGGATGATGACAGAACACAGGTGATGGATTTTAGCCAGGAAAATGCCACTGAAATGTCACAAGAACCACTCCAATGAAGAGGAAAAAAACCAGACTAGCAGAGAGGAGAAGGTATGATGGGATTTTTAGAGTACTGAAGGCAAAGCCTGAGACACACAGAAATGGCTAGAAAGTGAAGGAAAGGCGTTAGCTGGATTAACATTTTCTACTTTATTTTTTTCGATTAAAAAATACCCTTATTCAATATATTAGTAAAACATAAGAAAAGCTGCTCAGCTCCCACCCATTTCTGCAGGGCTTGTCTGAGTTCAACTCATTCCAAGATGAAAGCCAGTATTAAAATTGTACCAGGCACTTAAATATCTTCATTAAAACAGATAACTAAAATTCTGTATAGCCAACCTTCAAACATCCTGAGCAAGTCTAAACAAAATTCAGCATAAAACATGTTTTTGCACATATTCTCTTTGAACATAACAAAAAATACAACTGGGGAGAACAGATCAAGGCTAGGGTTCTGAAATATTTTTACATGAAAGACAGAGCTTCATTAGATAATATAGGTCAGCCTGACACCCATCCCCTCCCCTAATATATAGATGTATTTTAACGTGGATCCATTTTACATCAGAGTTACACATGATATTGACACAGCATTGACATCTCTGAGAACTGATGGTAGGATTGCATCAAGAACTTAGCACAACTGCCACAACAATGCCTTCCAGAAATCAAAACCCAGCAGTTCTCCCTTTCCAAAAAAACAACTACAGTTTGAAACATAATTACTATATTCCAAACTGAATGGAAGTTTGGCATGCACCACTGTACATTTCTAGCATATTTTTAGAGAGACACACACAAAACACATTAATTTCATCTCATGTGTGTGTAATATTTATGCATGTCAAGTTACCTTCCATGTATAAATTATAACTTCAGTGAACAAAGCACCTTCATTGGTTAAATTAGAAATACTTATGCTTCAAAGCATAAATGAAAATTAACTTCTAAGACACAGTCTAAAACTGTCTGGTCTAAAAAAACCTCACAATAATCCACACATTTATTTACACAAGTACTGTTTCAAAATTTACTTGTCCTTATCTCAGGAAACACCTTACTATTTTAAATAAGTGTTAACAATTCAAAGTACTTGAATGTATGCAGAAACTTTTGCTAAAAAATGGCCAGAGGCTGACAGTTCCCTCCCTTGCAATTTTCATGTTCTAAAATTTGTTTTTGTTCTCCCCTGGAACAAAATCAAACCATTCTGTATAACACAAAACCAGAACTGTCAAAACTTTTTTTTAGATCAAACTAGGCCTTTCTATTTAAAAACTATGAACGTCTACAATTTCAAATGTCTGCTTAAGCCCAAATCAGGCTTCCATATCTAAATAGGATGATTAAAATTTCTCCGAAGTAACAAAGGGGTTTTTTGTGTTGGGCTTTTTTTTAACTTATAGTAGACTAATTCTTTGTTGCTGTCTGCTACTGCAGTGTCCTAATTATTAGGTTGCACAGTGAGAACTCCTTCAGTCTTTCTCAGCTTTGAAGAAACAATATACAGCACCAACATTTCATTATACTGGAATACTTCCAATGTGGTTTGGTTTAATGACATAGATGTGACTACCAATTTCTTGCCTTTGAAGTAAAAAATTTCAGCCTTATTTATAGCATGAATGGTAAAAGTTTAAGGATTTTCTTCCCAATTGCTTATTAAAAATGAAAATAAAGACAAAATATGGTTGTTGGGAAAACAACATATCATAAATCAAAGTCAAAACACAATGAGTCTGGTTCATCTCCCTTTTTACCAAATGATGTATCAGAAAAGGAAATTAAATCTAACAGTCAGCTTCTGCCTCAGATCTAAAGCTGGGCTTCCTAATTTACTAAAAAGCACTCACACTAATTATCTAGATTTTGGCTCTAACAATAAAAAATCAGGGACGTCCTGGATTCTTCTCCTCTCGATGAGGTAATCCTTCATTCACAGCAGGCTGTACCATAACAACACTTACACACGCACTGAGGCATCCCCTGCACAGCTAAGGTGCACAAGAATGCCCCCATAACTCCTCCAAGCTCTCATGGTGCCGCTGCCCTCCAAAGCCAGAGGGCTGGCTGACACAGCTCAGGGTGCAGCAGCAGAGTGCAGATCATTACCAAATCCCTCTACACATTACTGGATTTCACTCCCTTACAATCATATTATTGGGAGAAAAACCAGGATCTGATGAAACATGAAGAATTTCAAATACTAAAAGCAAGGAACATGAACCAGGTCAGCTACAACAAGCTGAACAAGTGCATTTGGTTCCCTTGACACCTGTCCCAGCCATGGTTTAGATGCATTGTACCTATGGCTGACCTAAAAGCTGCCCTGATCAGGAGAATTACTATGTCAATCAAGTGGTCAGAGCTTTCTATGCAGTCTGCTCTTCCTTAAAGTGTACATAAACTCTAAAATGACTACTGCTAAATATTTTGGGCAGGGCGTTGCATTCCTTTCGAAATATTTTGATTTTAATGGGCAAAATAACTAATAGCTTATAATCTTCACTCCAGCCTCTGTGCCAAGCTACACTACAGTTGTGCTAACCTTACTAAATCCTTTATCTTCAAGAATATTTCATTTAGTGACTTAGAATAATTTATTTTTTTCCTGCCACCTCACAACACTAAAATCAGCATCCCAGTTCCACTGGGAGTTGAAAAGGAATTTTCTTAAAATTCATGAAAATGCAAGCCTTTTGCACAAGAAACCATTGTCATCACCATTAGAACTTGAGACTTCAACTAATGGAACAGAGGCCCAGGACAGTAAGAGACAATTGGACTGGACAAAATAAAATAAACAAACTCCAGCCTCTGCTGCTAAAGTAGAGGGCTGGGAGAATTGTCTGGACAGAATTTTGAAGAATCCTCTCCTGACTGGGAGGCTACGGTCATGAGCCTCAAAGGGGGCTTGGATCATTAGTGGTAGAGAAGAGGAGCAGTGAAGAGTCAGAGGGATCTACTGGAGGCTTTTGGTGACCTTTGGTGTTTGAGGAGGGTTTCAGGAGGTGAGCAGGCCTATGAGGGCTACGATGGTACAAGCCAGTAGCTTAGCAGAAACTGTGGGAGCTTACAAGCACCTGAGGATAGGAACTGCAGGAGGCAGAGGTTAGATGTTGTATGAGGGGCTGGGGGAGATAATTCAGGTCACCTCAAACCCCACAGTCCCCCTTACCCCACTGAAGGGGGTCTCCAAAATGAATGTCCATTCTTCTGCAGGACGAGATCCTAGCTAACCGTATGACTCCCCACAGCTGTTGCCAAAGAAGTAGCAAGGCTATGGCTCTATGATCACTGTGCAGGGGCAAGGGCAAGGCAAGGCTGAACTGGTGGCTGTGGCTGCTGGAAGATGGTGAGAGTAACTGCTGTGACTGGGAGAGGCTGCTCTTCAGCACTTGCCACACGTGTTGACAACTCACAGCACCTGTCAATCAGAAACTCAAGGTGAGGATAATTTATCCAGACACACGCAAGCTCTTTCAGAAAGATAGGCAAAATAAATATGGGGTAGAAAGCTGGGAAGGCTTTTGTACCTTCTTTTGAAAAGAAACCTCACTGTTTTGCAACCCTGGGCAACTGCTCACTTCAGAACCACTCATTCAATATCTAAAGTAACTCTGTGGCAACAGAAGATCAGCACTAAGCTATACTGGGCAGCACAACAGGCTTCTGAGCCGGATGGATACCTAATTGCTACCAAGTTTTTGAAAGCAAGTCAACACACATTTTTTTTAGTTGTTTCCCCCGATACTCAACTGATACCCTTCCCTTCAGGTTATTTATTGAGAAAGTCACTGCTGGTATTTAATTTAACACTTAACAACAAAAGCCTTCAAACAAGATTGCAGTGACTTAAAGAGAGTGAACTACCATTAGTGAAACCAAAGAAAAAAGCAATCCTGCCAAAACATCAGGGTTCTACACAAACGCGCAAATAAAGTTATGTTCTTAAACATCCTTGTTTAATGTATTGTGCTTAACAGACGGGTTGCGGTGCCTCTGCCTAGGGTTGGGAGAGAAAGTACCCTGCGCTAGGAAGCCACTGGAATGAAGGGCAGCAAGTCCCAGAACCGCCGGAGGCCGGCTGCTGGAAGGAAACAGGGTTGGATAGGCCGGTCAGCACCCCAAAAGCCGGGTGACAGTCGCACGATCCGCTCAAACACTCCCAGCTCCGACCAGGGCCAGCCTACCGGCACACCAGGGTGGCAAAAGTGATTACTCATGCCGCCGGAGAGCGGGGCAGCGGGAGCGGGGCCGAGCCTCACGACCCCTCCGAACCGGGACCGCGCTCCGCGCTCCTACCTGGGGGGCCGCGAAGGCGGCGGCGGGCGGCGGCCCGCGGGGCCGCGTCTCCTCCTCCTCGGGCGAGTCGTCCAGCAGAACTTTGCTGCTCTTGTTGAGCTTCCACATGGCGGGCGCGGGGCGGCCCCGCTGCGAGCCGGCTGCGAGCGGGCCGAGGCGGGAGCGGGCGCTGCTCCGCAGCCCCGGCCGGGGCGGCTGCGGTCGGCAGGGCTGTCACCCCGCCGGGGGCTCCCGGCCGGCAGCGAGGAAGGGAGGGAGGGAGGAGCTGCCTGGCGGCGCCGGGAGCCCGCCCCCCGCCGCCGCCTCGCCCACCGGCCTGCGGATGGAGCCGGGCTGCGGACGGGCGGCCCGCGGCGGCGGCGGGGCGGGCCGGGCTGGGCCGGGCAGGGCCGGGAGCCACCGCCCCCGCCGCTCCTCACCTGCCGCCGCTCCCCGCCGGAGCCGCCTCCGCCCGCGACCGCCGCGCCGCCGCCGCCGCTGCCATGTTTGCGGGGCGGGGGCACGGGCAGGGGGGCGGCCCGGCAGGGGGGCCGCCCGGCAGCGCCGCGGCAACAGCCCCGGGCCCGCCGGCAGCACCCCCGGCTCGCCCCGCAGCCCCCCGCTGGCACGGGACGGGGTCCCGAGGATAAGGGGCCGATGCTGCGGGGGGCACGGATGGCGCTGCCCGGCCGGAGGCGGCAGCAGGATGGCTGTGAGGGTAACGCGGGGCACTCGGAGGTGAAGCTGGACCCGTCCGGGCAGCGGGAGTAGCGACACCCGCAGAGTGCCACAGATGGCCCGACAACTCTGCAAATGGTCCTGGCGCAACGCCGTGTACCCTGCCCGTGTGCCTGCCAGTTTATCCAGCCGTGTGCCTGCCACTGTACCCACCTGTGTATCCAGGCAGTGTGCCTGCCGCTGTACTCACCACCATACCCACCCGTGTGCCTGCCAGTGCACCCAGCCGTGCACCCACCAATGCACCTAGCCGTGCACCCCCGCGGGTCACTGGGTGTCTGTGACGAAAGACAGGCTGGACAGCCAGCCCCCAGCCTGGACCCCAGGCCTGCTCCCCGTGACCCACAGAGCCCTACAGCCAGGGCGGAAAAGCCTGGCGCATCCAGCTGGAGTCCAGTGAGTGCCAGGAGCTCCCAGTTTGACGGCTGAATGATCCAGATTAAATGCCCTGTGAACCAGCTGGTATTTTCGTTGATTCTTAGTTTTCAGACAGATTTGCTAGGATATTTTTCCATTGAAATCCCCACATAAGCACTCCTTTATCCATTATTTTGATCTGCGAATTAGGGTCAGATGTCCAAAGAACAGGGAAACCACTCTAAACCAACCATTTTTGGTTGTTCTCTTGCTTAATGCTTCTATGATTTCACCAGTGAAAGGCCGTAACACTCAAGGATCCCTCCCGACAGACTTGCAGGCCTTGCTGTGACTGCCTGATCCCTCGGCGCCCAGCAGCCCCAGTCGGGGAGCAGCAGCAGCAGGCAGGGAGCAGCAGCCCCAGGCAGGGAGCAGCCCCAGTCGGGGAGCAGCCCCAGCAGCAGTCAGGGAGCAGCAGCAGCAGCAGTCAGGGAGCAGCAGCAGCAGTCAGGGAGCAGCAGCCCCAGTCAGGGAGCAGCCCCAGTCGGGGAGCAGGCCCAGTCAGGGAGCAGCAGGCTTTGCCGAGGGTTTTTGGCTGCAATGTGCTCCTACCTGCTTAACTGGAAAAGGGCTCACCCCGGGCAGGAACAGCCGCTCCTGCAGGGCTGCCGGCTGCCTCCAGCTCCCATCAGTGGCAGAAGGACACCCACCGACTCGGGATTTGCAAGTCAATGAGAAAAGGACTTTTTCCGTCATAAAATGTCCCGTGGAAGCTAACCTCAGAGGCACCATAGTTTTAACTATAAATTCTCTTTTGTAGAGATTCAGGACCTCTGTAATGACTAAGGAATGCTGTGTAGCTAACTATAGTTTGTAGATGACTCCACAAAAGATACATTCACTTTCACTTGGACCTGTAACCACAGCATTTACACCAGTGCAGTGTTAACTCTCTGTCTTGAAAATGAACTTCACAAAACTATATCAATGAGCCTAAAGCAAGTGAACAAGTGTTTGAAGGACTCTAAAGGCCTTTAGTTTTGCAATAAGTTTTCAAACAAAGTCTTCTTTATCACATTTTCAATCCCCACTCTTGTGAGACTAAAAGCTACTAAAAGGTGAAGCACAGAATTTCCTTTCACATCTTGCTTGCATTAATATTAACTGAATCTCAAGAGGGTAGGAGACAAAACACATTCTCCATTATTAAAGACAGATCAGGTTTAGCATGGATTTCCTCCAGAAGGCCAAGTCAATTTATGACTAGTTCTTTAACCTCTCCTTCAAATTTATAAACAAAACTATTTCTAAGTTATATCGGCAAATGTTTGTGTTACTCTAAGTAGAAAACAACCATTTTATTTTATTTGAATTTTGTATTTAGACCTTGAAAAGATCAAGTAAGTTGTCACCATGTGACCGTACTATTTTAATCCAATGCCTTCCTTATGCTATTTTTCTTATTGCTGCCTGAAACACCAGCTCTACCATTAGGCTTAAATCATGGAAATACTTATGATTCTGCTCAGTTTTAGTCTAAGAAATTCACACAGAATTCCCAATACACAGAAAATTAACTACATGCCTTTGGTCTTCATTTTTTATTAATTTTAACTTTTTTTCCCCTTAGGTTTTCTCCTAAGATCTTGAACTTCAGTGTGAAAACTTGGCTTTACTTTGGTCACTGAAAATCAATCCAGTTGACTTTAGAGAGTAGAGAAATTCAGTTCACATTTTCGATTTATCTTCAAGACCCCAGGGCATGGCTGAGTGTTATCTCATATTCTTCTGAGAAGAATATTATTTATTATTTTCTGCTGATCTGTTCTACAGATTTGGGCTTATAAATTTATTATTTCCTTTTAAAATTAATTATATACAACTAATAAAATTTGTTTTTCCAGATTAAGAAATTGACATCTGCCAACTGGGTGTGGCTACGGTGAAAAAGAATACAAAACACTTAAATACAAAGTTTCTTTTTCTAAGAAACTATATTATCATGTGTCCCTAAGTTGTATCCAGGGGAAAGCTGTGAAATCCTGTGTTAGAAACTTCTTGCATGGTGTTTAAAATGCCATGAACATCTTTATAAATATCATAAGAAAAAATTGATGATTTGTCTTCTGAACTCTGATCCTGTCTCCCTTAAGGGAGCACAGATTTGGGGGAAAAAAGTGAGAGAAGTAACAGAAAATGCAGCCTTTGTCCCTGACTCCTAAGGAGTACTGAGCTGTTTTGAAAGCAAAGCCAGACAACATGGTTTTAGCAGCCACTTCATGACCTGGCAAAATATTATGCTGCTGAAAAATCTGTTTCTCCTTTCCTCTTTTACTCCAGGCTCTGACCCAGGAGAGAAAAGGATGGAGTTCTTTTGCTGGCCTAAACCAGGCTCTCAGGAGACAGAGAGCAAAAATGAGAAAAGTGAAGAGCAGTAAGGAGGTGATCCCTTGTATCATACCACGTAACTCCATGGCACTTTGTGGCTTTAGCATTCTTCAGTGACTCCAGGCTGCAGGACCTTTGCCAACCTTGCTGTGGCTGCCTGAACACGGCTGCAGTGCTGCTGCTCCACAAAAGATACAACAACAGACCCATGTTGTGCTAGAGATGACACATCCAGCACTGCTGCCCCCCCTGCCAACCTTCTCAGCTGCACTGGGGCTCAGACCTTAGCCAGGCTGTTGGAAACCATGCTAGCAGGATGAGAGCTGCCACTTCACAGCAGTGTTAGGCACACACCACAAGCATTAGGGAGACATCCCTCTCCCCCTGCAGGGACCCATTGTTAGCCATTTCATGATAAACACTGTCTTTATAGCACTGTGCCAGAATACAGCACAGGCACTGGGGTATCTGTATATCCACTCCTAGATTCTGACTCCCACGTGTTTTCCACCTTCTGGACACTGATAGTTACAGAGTACCAGTCTGGAATTTATCTCATGAAAGTTTAAATATCTAGATGTCATTTCTCAGTTATTCTCCCTTTCTAACTTGTGGATAGCAACACTGTGCTCTTTTGCCTTTTTCGTCTTGGTTTTCTAGAGTGTTTACTCTGGACATCTACCTACAACTGTATCAAAGTTCACAAAAATAAGCAATACCAAAGCAATCTATATCTTTTGAGTTGCAGAAAGGGAGGAAGGTTCAGCAACTACTAATACCAGAGTTCAGGGCAAAACTTTCTTCTTCCTGTTTCCCCCCATGCTTCCTATCAGTTACCTAGCCAGCTTCAAGCTAAAACATATGTGTTATATATAAGAAAATACATATTGTGTGATACAATACATAGTTTTTAGGAATATGATCTCTGGATGACTACAGCATATGAGTTCTGCAAGTCAACACGAAGTCCAAGCTCATTCAAATACAATACTTACATTTCATTTATGTATGGATAGGTGTGTGAGTCACATTTATTACATAAAAGCTGTTCTAGACAATTTGAAAAATGTTGCATTCTACTCTTTTGGGATTTTGGTATAATTCTCATTTAAAACAAAACATAAATATAGCTGGTTTAGGAGCCAGAAAACACCCCAAGATGATCTAACCTTCCTTTCTGAACTCTCAAGGCTTACCAATAGAAAGGTGAGGTCCAATGCTACAAGGGAAAGGAAATATTCTGTCTCTAGCCAAACTCCATTCTCATTGATAACAAACCCACTTTGATTTGAAATACTGACGTGTATAGCAAAGCTGTTTGTGGTTTGGCATGTAAGTTAGTGAATGTAGGTCTTTGTCCAAAGAAAACGTGTAAGAGAGAAAAGCAAAATACTTTTGGAAAATAGAGTTATTTTAAAAATTGACAGCTGGTTGAGTCAACTGTAAGTCAGTTCAAGAAATACCAAGAGTCCTGGAAGAAGCAGATTATTGTGTGCAAATGCATGCTAAATTAATTTATACTTTGTCATTACGATTTATTATCGAGATTTTTTGTCCCCAGGGATGACATAGCAAAAATAGAAGAAGGCCAGAACTGATGACAAAGACACTCATACATGGAAAAATACTGTTATGAAGATAGATGAACACTGTGCTTTAAACCAGAAGGAAGTGG